TCGCCTCTCGCTGTGTTGTCGCCACCTTTGGGTTTCTCGCTACCCTAGTAGCTGTTTCCGATCTAGGAGTAGCAGCACCTCCACTCTTCGCCTTCTCCGCCATGGCGCCGCCACGGGGAAATAGACACCACCGATCTGCTCGGTTAGGGAGCGCCGTCGCCCCTTCACAAGCCACCGGAGACCACACCACCACCGCGCGGAAACCCTAGCCCTAGCGTCCGATGCGATCGCCTCGCAATCGCCCTCAGCCGCCTCTCCAGTTACTGCCTCGAGGTGGACCCACCTTTACTGACAGCTATACCATCGTCCTTTGCTTTTATTGAAAAATAAATTCTCGAGCAACTTGCTGTAATACAGTGAGTTCAGGCCAAATAACATTTTTCTCTCCCTAGTCTGGTCTCTTGCAGTGCGGCAGTTATTTCCATCAGCGCTGCACTTCTCCCATTAATTTCCTGATATTCATCTCGAGGCAAAAAAAAAAAGGAGGGACCACGGGTGGATCAAGATCGACGGCGCTCACACGCTTTCTAAGCCACAACCGAGAAACGTAAACACGCTCAAACATACAAGTTTAGGCTGAAGCTGTCATGGCTATAGAGAAGAGCCGCCTAGCACACACAAACACGTGCATAAACCGAAGGACGATGAAGAGGTCATCCATTTGTTGCAGGCCACTCCGGCGCCATCCTCGCCATCCATTTGTTTTGTTCATAGATTAAAACACAACAGCAAATTCTAGGAAGTCAGCACAGAGATCACTATTCAGCAGTGGTTGAATTTTGGTCCGTCAAGTCTCCCTTCAACAACTCTCATCTCTGAAGTGGTGGTGTACATGATGGGCACTCCCTCACATGATAAAATGTATCTACTTGCTATTTTAGTGCATCTGAATAGGCATGATGATGTTTGCGGCATAATTGACTTATGTTATTCAAAAGAGCATATCTCATTATGTTTCCCTCGTGTAGACATATATGCATCATTAATCAAAGAGGAGGGAGGGCTGATGCCCAGGTGTCGCCGGCCGGCCAGCCGGACCTAGGCCGTCGGGAAGAGTGGAGGATGGGGGGAAGGAGAGGATGGAGGGATGAGAGTTACGTTGGTAGGGAGGCCGGGGACGCACGGGAGATCGGCGGGCAATGGCAGGAGGAGGAGTGAGGGAACTTCGAGAGAGGGAGAGTGAGCGAGGAGAGGGAGTGAGGAGCAGGGGCAGGGAAAGGGATATGAGGGTGCTGCGCTTAGTAGTAGCACGGGGTGCGGGCGCCGCGCTACTACTAAAAGCCAGTAGTTGTATTGTGGCATCAAACACCCACACTACTACTAGGCGGGAAACACTAGCTGGCCCTACCTGTCCATAGTAGTATCGCGGGGTGTCACACATGCGCTACAACTATACGCTTGCTAGCAGCGCATGTTTCAGGTCCCGCACTACTACTACAACATGTTCAGGGGACATGATGGGGACCACTTAGTAATAGCGCGGGCTTTCTGTGCCCGTGCTACTAAAGCATATCGGTAGCCCATTTTGTTTGCTTGCGCTACTATTAGGTAGCAGTAGCACGGCCCTTGTAACCCGCGCCACTATTATGTGGTTGCCTATAGGGGTTTTCCTAGTATTGTTGGCTCATAGTCATAAGGGTTTGAATTAAATTGAAATAATTCATAAACCCGAGTTATAGGGTGATGTGTGTGTGCGCGCGCGCGCGCGTGTGTGTTATTTTCTAGCCTCTCAATTAATCATGTACACTTGTAGATACAAAACTATCATGTCAGAACAGTCATGTACAAGCCTTGTGTTTAGGGTAGATTCAGAACCAATATGTCTATGTTGCCTTTGATGTAGTTCATCCTGTTAAGTATACAAAGCGGTGCATTTTGCGTAACAAAACCAGGACCAGGAGTAGGACGGATAAATCTGATTGACACGAAAGATGGATTCTTTAGACAAATCATGTGAAACGTCTTTGGTTTGATGAAACAAAAGAAAGTTATTAGATGAACACAATCACAGTCTCTGACATTAGGGACATTAGGGACTTAATCATCACCGGCCGAGACCATTAAGCTAGAGGTCATGGTACATGTAATTAAGGCCTTCGACCAATAAACCAGCATTGACTGGGCACCAGTGTTTTATTCAAGCACATAGGTGTTGATTGAATGTTATCGTGTCAACCAATCTTAATGTGTTCCTTTCGTGGGAGGGAGTTGGATTTTTCTCATCGTCCCTGCCAGCTGCATGCTTCTCCTCCACACCAGCTATCGTCCTAGCATGGCTAGTGTAGCCTTCATTGTTTAAGGGCATCTCCAACCGCGGTCCGTAAATTCTCTTCCGCATTCGTCCGCGGACAGGGAGATCAGTCTGCGGATACTAATGCGGGAGGCCATCATCCAATGCTATCTTGTATATGTCCGCCAGTAAATTCCAATTCATAATTGCTTTGATCCACACAGCATGCCGGATCACACCTGCGCCAGATCGCATGCCCGGTGACAACGAAAAAGAAGCAAGTATGCTTATTTTTCACATGCCCGAATCTAAAAGAACATCAGTCGGGTAGTCTGTGATATTTTCTGCCCTGTCGGACTGGCAATCCCAACCATCTGCTCCTAAGGAAGAGGTGGCGGCAGCGAGGAACGAGGGTTGGGGGTTGGGGCGGGACGCGCGCAGCAGAGAATTGAGAAAGTGTACCGAGGGAAGTTTTGAAACTGTCTTTTTGCGAGGGAGGTGGTTTGGAGGAGGGGTGAAACTGCCGTGGATGGGTTGACCCATGTCGTGCTAGAGAAAACGCCTGCCACATCACTACTAGTGGCCGGCGCAAGCAAGAGCTCGCCACTACTATGTTATTGTACTAGATTTGGTTTAAATCATTTCAAGTTCAAATTTCCACGGGTAATAGACACCATTGAAAGCCCCATGCTCAAATGTCTTCATTTTTTTTAATTGGTTTGCTATTTTTCCGGCATTAGTTGACATTCCGACAATTATAATGGAAAACAATATTTGGCTGTGCAGACGAGCTTTGAATGTGATGAGACTTGCCATGGTGTACTCATTGGACACCTGTAGTATGTGGTAAAATTTTGACACCGTTAAGGCAAAAACTTGATGCACCTAATGTATATAGTGGATAGTTTTTGGACATAACTTAGGTGTGGCATATGACTTTGGACACCCGCCACATCTAGCTTATGGCTATTTACATTAATTTGCCTCCGGATTAAAAATGTATCCGAGGCGGGCACAATACATGCCTGCCACTGTTGACTGATACACCAGTAACGGGCATGGTGTGCACTTCCCACTACTCATAGTTTTCATCACGCGAGCAATCTTGGAAGAGTTTACAGGTGGCGGGTGATCATTTCCGCCCGCCACTGCTCGATAAATACAAGTGACAGGCAAGAGGTGTCAGCCGTTACTGCTACTTCTCCAAAAATAGAAGTGATGAGTACTTGTCCACGCCGGCCACTAATATGAGGTCACTTATAAGCCTCTTCCCAATAGTGCACCTGTGATGTGGCATGACAATTACTAAAAGCATGTATGCCATTCTGCATAGCACGGCAATTCCTCCTACTGTAGCATGGCAACTTCTTGGACATGCATGGCACTCTCTCTATGTGTACCATAGCAATACATGGCAATCAACGCTAACGTGGTAATTCTCCTCTGCTGCAACTATACTTGGCTATGGGAAACCCGGCCTGACCTGGCCTTGCCCACGACTGGGCCTTGGCCTAATTTGAGCCCAAATGCCAGGGCGGGCTGGGCTTGAGCTTGACACATGTGTCTTTTAACAAAGTGGTCCGACCTGAGGCCCGACGGGCTTTTGCATTGTTGGGCTAGGCTTGGGCCTGAAACCAAGGCCCGAAGGACGGGCTGGGCGCAGACCTAGGTTTTCTACTGCAGGCCTTTTTAGGCCCGACACAAAGCTTGGCCCGCCCTGAGTTTTGGCCAGGTATAGCCGCAAGATGGTAATTTGTAAACATGTAAGCATGACTTTCCTCTTCTCTTTGAGCCTGCCTATTCTCTCTGCTGACTACAGCATGTTAAATCTCTGAAATGCCAGGCAATTTTCTCTGCTATAGTATGACAAATTTTCTTCTATAGCATAAGAATTATTTCTTCTTTAGCACAAAAATACAAAGGTGAACATGGGTGCACGCGCACCCATGTGAACAATAAATTCATAAAAAAATACAAGAATTTAAAAAAAATTCTGAATTTTTGCGGCATGAAACTTGGTCGATCATTCTACTCATGTGTGAAGTTTCATGATGTATTGACACCCATGGTATTCTTAGTGAGAAAAATACAAATACAACCATACTATTCATTAAACAATGTTTTTAATATAGTTTTGATTAGCTTCGATTTTGCCATTTTTGCCCAGATTATCACGGACGTGATGTCTTCATGAAACTTCATATGCGAGTATACTGGCTGACTATGTATATTAAAAAATAAATTCAGAATTTTTTGAATTTTTCTAGTATTTTTTAAAATTTACTATTCATAAAGGGTGCACGCGCACCCATGTTCACCAAATCCGCGTCCTGGCAAATCTATGTGTTATAGGATAACAAATCTCTCTATTATAGGATGGCAATTCCTGAAACGTTTCCTGGAGAGGTTTTTTGAGCGAACGCCGTTCACTCACGTGAGCCTCCATGAGGGAACATTCATTAGTGCAACGTCCTCCTGTAGGGAACGTCAGCTCTCTATTAGGGTCCACAACTTTTTGCATGCTCCACTTGAAAACATGACATGACTAGAGAACGCTCTTTCTTGTTGCTGGGCAAGTAGATAACATCATGGTGGGCATCTCGTTCTATTTCACATAATCCAAAACAAATGTGAAGAGACGCACTGTAAAACACGTGAACAGTATTGTAAAACACGTAAACAGTTACATAGCGACAAGACACCATTACACTAAAAAAGTCAAGTTCTAAAAGAAAATGTAAGCTGATGCTACGATTGTTTCTTCTAGACTTCAATCGAAGTTTTCGATATTGATTGGAGTTATATCATCCGCCACCTCAAATTTCCCGACTAATCGAGCGAAAAACACCATCTGCTGCTCCAAGGTAAACTTGATATTTTCGGCCTGTTCAGAGTGAAAAATGTGAAGATAAAATCCATGACAACCTTGAAAGTTAACAGGGTAGAAGATGTAGAAAGGCAACTATTAGTACAGTATTCAACCTTGCGGAACCCGTGCTGCTCCCCCTCATACTCAACCAAAGCAACAGGCAGACCTCTTTCTTTCAAAGCCTGGTATATTTTACGTGCCTGGTTTGGTGGTACGACCTGCGAAACATTGAGGCAAGTGAAATATTTTGCTACGGTCTATTTCGGCCTTAGCTAAATGCAGGTTGTAATTTTGCACAAAACCAGAGCAAACTTTTGCATGTGAGATTGCACCTGACATTTTGCACAAAGAAATGTTGCAGGCAATGATTCATCGATCTTAAGTATGATCAACAAAGTACATACAAACCCTATGCAAATATGGAAGCCTGGCCATTAGTTTTACAGGAGGAACTATAATATGACAATCTGAAGAACAGAGTGGCTAATCCACTACAGAAGAAACATGATCTCAAGAGTCCAAAGATAACTTCAAATGTTAAAGAAACACACATGTGCATGGTTCTACCGACTTGTGTACTCATGAATTCATGATAACCAATGTGGTTGATGATCAACACCTACCTTATCATCCAACCCTTGAAACAGAATTACTGGGCATGTAAATTTATTGACAAAGTTGATTGGTGACCTCTCATAGTAAGCTCTTTCATCTCCTGAAAGGATGTAGTGGAAGAAGCAACTATTAAATTAATCATACCAATTGATGCGTTGAACACCGAAACAAAAATGATGAGATACTTTCTTACCGACAAGATTGTCGATATAATGGGAGTCATATTTCTGCGAGTCTGCTCTCATCAAAGACAAATCACCAATCTGATCATCAATTCAGCAAAAGAGTTAGTTTTTATGTTTATACAAACAAACAGCAAAAAAATAGAATGACTAAATTATAGCAACCAAAATGGCACTAAACTGCATTTTTCAAGTTTCAACCAGTCCACTAATAAAAACGATCATATGGATATGGTTATTGGTTAATATGGTATCGAACCAAGACCAGGCCGGTTATGCAAAGCTGGACGTTCGGTTACCAGCCGGCTGATGTGGTTATTGCTTATCATTATTGTTGGCAAATTACTAACCGCTAAAGGTTTGGTTTATTTTGTACAAAACCGAACTAATTTGGTTATTACCAAACAACGAACACTTGCAAGGCCCAGCCCATCTCAGCGCTCATCCTGGACAATTGGGCTCTTCGCCTTTGGTCCGACTCACAATTAAGCATGAAACAATGGCCGGCCGCACAGCATTAGTTCGTTATGACATTAAACTGGCATGTGTACACTATCTACTTGGTGCTTGCTAATGCTAAAATGCTTCCTGGTATAAGAAAATGCTATATGATATGACTAATGCAGCATAGATCCGCCTGGTTGTGATTGGCTGCTTGTTGCTTGTTGCTTGCTCCTTGCTTAGGTGCTGTTGGTGTTGATACTAGCATGCTTCTGATGTTAATTACTCAATTTGTCATGTGTAAATTTGTACTTTGTGATGTGAACCTGTAAAGTCACCGAGATACTTTAAGTTCTTGTCAATTTGTCATGTGTTAATTTACCGCAACCATACCGGAGTTGTTTGGTATTAACTGCAACCAAAACACATAAGGAATTCATGAAACATTTAAAAAACTATTAAACCATATTAACCAAATGCACCCAGGGTCATTATGGATGGCATGATGACTAAGATTTGTCCATAAGCCCTAGTCCCTAGAGCACTCCTTGAGCTTATTCCCAAAGCCAGCAAATACGTTGTGAGGATATATTATTAGCTGTATATATCAACTAAAAAGGCACATCACACTTGGCCCTGTTCGGAACTCAGAAATTTCACAAGAAAGAGTTCAACTCCCACAAGAATCAGGAAATTTTCCTGAGTTCCAAATAGGGGCTATAAGGATGCGCACAGGGACACATGATGTTCTTGAATATTCCTGCCTTGGGCCCGGCAAAGAGATGCAGCCACTAAGGAAACCTACAGTTGGAGAAGGACTAAGGTCTAAGAGAGATCTCTTTGCGCTCTCCCTCCGGATGAGCAAGGTGCTTACGACGCCGCTCCAATCCTGGCTTGGCTTATGACCAAGAGCCTAAGCTAGGGCGGGTATTATGGAAGATTTTAGAATTTCTTTGCTTCCAAATGCACCAGACGGCATTAATGGAAGCTTCCATGAGGAAAGGCCTTGCGAAATCTCTTCTGGCCCAAGAAACCATTGAGTTGGTACTCCCATTATAGCAACTGAAATGGAAGCCAGCAGAGGAAAACTTCGGTTTTAGCTTCTGCTGCTCTTTACCTACCTGAGGAGAGTAAATTTCTTTGAGAACAGTAATAGGTTTCTCTTCTTAGTGTAGGGTTTAGCATCTACTGTGGTCTGTTCTGCTGTATGTAGAACACTTTGTTTCTGTTTTATAATGAAATGGAGAAGGGATTTTTTTCGGGTATCCGAAAAAAGGGGATGAATGAACAAATATAGCCTCCATAACTACCATTTTGAGAATGCAGGCACGTACTGTTTCTAAGAAAACAAATACAGAAACTGCAGAAACCACTGAGTATCTGGTGAAAGTTTGTTTATAGCAAGCCAATAAATAATATATTCTGAAAAGATAGCACTTACACCATACAAAGATGCTCCAGCCTTGAATGTATCTCTGAATGCGAGTGAAGCTAAAGTAGTGTATCCGCCCGCTGATCTCCCCGTTATACATAGGCGTTGTTCATCTACGCTCCCGCTCTCGACCTTAATTAAGTAAGATGCACTGTGAGCATTGTTAAAAATTCTTATACTATTAGAATCGTTGATCATAGGACGTACCAGGAATCTTGCACAGCTGCAACAATCATCAACATCGACAATACCCCATTTCCCCAATAATCTCTCTCGGTATCCTCTCCCATATCCTTCAGTTTATATTTCAATATAGTTTAGCATACAGTAATAACAATTAATAATTTAAATGAACCCGAAGCCTTAATTACAATCAATATAGAATGAAGAATCCGTCTAATCTGAATACTAGAGGCAATGACAAACCAGTGCTTCCTCCGTAGTTAACATCAAGAAATGCCCATCCTCGACTTGTCCAATACTGGACACTAAGGTCTAGAATTTCACGTGTTTCAGCCGTAGGTCCTCCTGAAAATTGTGGGAAGCATCAAAGCTGCATGGTTTTGTTGTAATTATGGAATACGGAGGATCCTATAACTCACTTAACAATCCAACTTTCAATGAAATAAACGGACACGTGCGTGCCCTCGCACACCCACACACCCACACACACACACACACACACACCACACGCGCATGCCACACTGAAATTGTCTACGAATAATTATTTTGAGACATCAAAAGGGTTCATTAATTTCCTTACCATGCGTTTTGACCAGCAATGGAGGCTTTTCATCTGGTAAACCTTGAAACATGGGATTCAAAGGTGGGTAGAAATAGGCATACGCCTTCTGCCCAGGGCTGGATGTAGGGAACTCAATAAATTCTGGGGTGCTGAAGAAAGGTCTATACTGCACAGCATCTGGTGAGGAAGACCAGACTATTGAGAAACTAATTGCTTTTGTTTTGTTCTTATCCAAAGTCACCTGGAAAGAAACACATACATGTTGCATGAGTTGATGCTCTAATACATCGTCGGTACATAACCAATAATGTGGATGTCACATCCTAGACACCTTTGCAATTGACATTGGGGCACTTGCAGATGCACCTTCGATATAGAAGTAATCATTTCCAGCAACCTGCCAAAACACGGAAGAGGTCATCTCAACCACCAGCATGAAATTGAAGTAACATGACATGGTACATACATGAAACAAAAACTTCAGATGGAGGGCCTGTAGATTCTGGTACTTACCACATTGGACAAATCGGAGAAAGGGGTGTCGAGCAATGAAACTGAGCCTGAATCACAATTTAGAACACCAAGATATGACCTTCCGAGCTGCCTGTGTTACATCGGTATTGGGGTTGTATTTAAAGATGTTTCATCAACAAATAATATGACAATGAAACAAACAACTTTACAGAATTATCAGAACCTGTAAGTTAAAATGATGTGATTGCTCTTTCCAAGAAAAGCGTAAGAGCTGTTGCCAAAAAGCCACAATGGTCTGGTGAACTCAGCATCTAATGTGTACGCCGGAACAACCTCATTGCTGTGTTCAACCTGATACATAGTGCAGAGATATTTTACGCAAGCAAAGATCAGATGGTGACAAAGAATGTAGTATTTAATCACCATGCCATGTGTCATGACATTTAAAGTTATTACTCCAATCTCCATGACCCAAAACACGAACAGTGTCGTCAAAATGTATGTTCCATTCTTTGTCCACTCCCTCTGTCAGTTATGAAAAACAGAGCTCAAGTACTGAAAGAAAACCACATTACCCATTTATAAATGTTCCAGAATCCACTCTCTCTGTCAGTTATGAAAAACAGTTCTCCTGCAAGTTTGCATGCATCAAGCCATGGTTAAATTCTGGTTGTCAGTAGCCACCTTATAGTCGTAGAAGTGAATATATTAATACTAAAGTTGTATAGGTAATCAAACAGTTCAATCACTAGGTAGTGTGATATGTGAACAGAAGACCCAGAAAACAATAGCACATATGCACTTCCGTATTGAAGATAACCTTTATTGATCTATAGAGAAAAATTCCCCACAAACTATGATAGTCCATTTAGTTAAAGCAGCTCCAATAAATATTGAATCAATAAATTGATAGACCAACAACAGAAACTAGTGACGTCAATCTCAACATAATATAAAACAATTTGATCTTCAAATAGAAGAGTGTACTGAAACGATGAAAAAGCACAAGTAGAGTAGGTTGTTTGACTTTGTTCAAGAACACTACTTTAGAAACCATGAAGATGTGCAAAAGAAAATGTTTAACTTACTTAAGAAACAAAACGAAAGAGCGAAATAATACGCTTACGAGGAACGTCTTTATCACCCAAGTAAGCATAGTAACATATCTTTGAGAAAATAACAAGGAATATAGGCAAATTTAGCTGGCAAATGACACCTTTTGGAGACCATTTAGGCTCAGCAAGGGATTCCACCAGCATTGGGTTGCCTCCAGCAACACAGACCCGTTTGGTCAACTCTCTGCACACAAACAAATCAGCAGCAGTTAGAAATTTTAAAAGCCCATGATAAATGGAGTGTAATACTAGAGCTTGCTGCAACGTATTAAGCACAGTAGTCTAGTCACTATTCTAGCCTGTACCATGATGCAAGCTACTCCCTCTGCTCCTAAATATAAGTCTTTTAGAGATTACACTACAAATTATATACGGATGTATATAGACATACTTTAGAGTGTAGATTCACGCATTTTGCTCCGTATGTAGGCCATGGTGGAATCTCTAAAAAAACTTATATTTAGGAATAGAGGGAGTAATATATATATATATATATATATATATATATATACAAACAGAATCCCATATACGCTTTTAGGAAAATGTGAATACTGTATAGTTCCTTAATTAGAACGAAAATATGCAAGTCCAAGTCAAAACTGACATTAAGAGAATGTCACTGGTTGGGGCCTGTGGTGGTCTAGGGTTTTATAGCCGTTCACCAGAATGGCAAGGCCGAAAGTCTCACCACCCCGGAACCATCTGGTGGAGGTACGGCACCTACGCGAAGACAAGGGTGCCATTATATACGCCAGGCCGATCAACTTGTATGGCAGGTAAACAAAACAGACTTGGATCCTAAGGATCTTATCTAAGGAAACAAACTGTATCTAATCTTACAAGGAAACACAGCATGTACTAATATCTAGTTCAAACGATAATTCCATTTACCCGCTTTCAGAGAAGTAGCCCACCCAGAGTTCTGATTTATCCCATGGCATGTTTGGATGACCCCACTCAATCCATGCCATCCGCTTTTTGTTTTGATCAATTCTTGGAGAAGCATAGAAGTCATTCCCACTGACCAGCACCTTCGGTTCTTCAATACAGAAAATATGTGAGGTACTGTCAGTCAAAACATCAACCCAGAGTAAACATAGGAAGAATCAAACAAAAATATAGATCTACTTGGTACAAGCTATATAATTTTCTAGTCTTACCATGGATATCCCCACCGCTTAAGTTTATACACGCAATTGTTGTAGCGGGATTCAAGTTACTCGTTCGCCGATCTATCAAGAAATTTGAGCATGTCAAGAGTACAATAGTTCATCCTGCAACTAGACTACATGTAAGTCTGTAAACAAATTATATGTGAAGTACCTTCCATCACAGTAACATAACGACTGAAGTATGGATCAAAGACACCACCAGCATAACTGACGTCAGGTGCACCATAATCGGGTGTAAGAGGCACGGGCAGACTTCCAACTGTAATAATCATGTGAAATGATTTCAAATGAAAAAACATCATAGTTTAATTTAATTTGCTCAAGATGAAATATCAAATGGTTCTAAAGAGATGTAATTACTTAGTGCCAATTCCTACAACCCTCCCTAGCCATCTTGTGTACTCAGCCTTGTACAGCCTTCTTACTTGTACAGTTTTTTATAGTTAACAAAACATATGCTGTTGAGACCTCCACTACAGTTTTCAGTCAAATAAGATTGGCTAGTTTTCCTGTCAAACACATCATATCACTTCATCGGCTGTCAATGATAAGTATTGAACCTAAATGCAAGTTCTTCTCCTGCAGTCATGATCCATGAATCATGAGGATTAGGACAGAGAGCCTTAGCTAGCCTACCGATTCCGATATTGGGTGATCCCACAGATAAGTTTTTTAGGCATTCAATCCTGGGCTTCAGAACTACTCCCTATATTGTATGGGCTATGTTGGCATCACTCTTTTTTTTTGTTTTTTTCCTTCATACTATATTGCATATTGTACTCATATTACGCATTTGAATGAACACAATATGCAATCTATGCACTAACCCATGAAGGGATATGTAATGGAACGTAAGATTGTTTTATCTGATAGACACTTTATAATTCCAACTTAATTACCTGTTTTTATTGGCATGTCACATGTGGATTAGAGTTTTGTTGAACTAGCTGCATTATAAGTGATTACCATCCCACTTACTTTCAGTCGGTTGCTTGTACAGACGTTGATCCTTGTAGTTTGAGAAAACAACAGTATTATCTTGGACTGCAAATGCACCACCTCCATATTCTTGAACAAGGGTGCGTGCTGCAAATTCCGGAGGTATGATATCCACAGGCTTGTCATCCTCCTTTACAATAACCATACGCCTGGAAACAAAATTAGTTAAATCTGACACAAAATATTCAATTTTGAGTTTCGATGCAAACTAATTGAAGCCTACCAAGATTGAATATGGTAGAACAAATATTCAGCGTGTAGGATGCACGCACTCATGGCATATGGTGCGAGGAAGGATTTTATCATTCAGTTCATCTGAAATACCAATACCATTTTATCTTGTGTGTAGGATGCACGCACTCATGGCATGCAATTTTATTCAGAGAAAAGGCACTTGGACCTGTTTTTCACTGAAAGCGAAGTTTTCAGAGTATATATGCTGGCATCCAGCAGCTTACATTCAGTGCTATATATATATGACAGATGTATTTGACATATTCAGAGAAAAGGCACTTGGACCTGTTTTTCACTGAAAGC